GTTCTTGTAGGCATCTCCTGACCCAGTTCTTTGGATATCCATTATCCTTGAACACTTGGAAGAGGTATTCCTCCTCCTCTTGGTGTAGTTCCATGTTGCTGCAGTGTGTTGTTGCCCTTTTAAATAGTGTTCGCACACAGCTTCGTTTGTGTGTGTTGGGATGGTTACTATTGAAGTTCAGTACCTGGTCTGTGTGTGTGGCTTTTCAGTGTACTTTCGTTTGCAGCTCCCCATTTGTCTTGCACTCTACTTTTTCACTGGGGTCATGTTCTTGTTCAAGTAGTGTTGTCATTGTTTCCCTTGTCTATTGATGTGAATAGGATGGTGACATCAAACGATATCATGGTCTCTTCATCCTGTATCTTTATATCTTTGATGGAGTTGAGGAATTCTTGGGCTGAATGGATGGAGTGGGGTGATTTGTTGACTAGGTGCTTGCACCTTCTTTGTAGAGCGCAAGACAAATGGGGAACTGCAAACGAAAGTACACCGAAAAGCCACACACACAGACCAGGTATTGAACTTCAATAGTAACCATCCCAGCACACACAAACGAAGCTGCGTGCGAACATTATTTAAAAGGGCAACAACACACTGCAGCAACATGGAACTACGCCAAGAGGAGGAAGAATATCTCTTCCAAGTGTTCAAGGATAATGGATATCCAAAGAACTGGGTCAGGAGATGCCTACAGGCAAAGCATCAGAAAGATTCTACACGCCCCGACACACTGATTACACTACCCTACATCAGGAACACATCAGAACTCACCACAAGACTTCTACAACCGATGGGCAACAGAGTGGCACACAAGCCCACATCAACCCTACGACAAGTGCTCACCCAAACTAAAGACCCACTCCCCACCATGGACAGGACCAATGTCATCTACAAGATCCCCTGCAGAGACTGTGAGAAACACTACATCGGACAAACAGGAAGGAAACTAACAACAAGAGTACATGAACACCAACTGGCTACAAAAAGACACGACCAATACTCTCTCATCTCAATCCACATGGACAAGGAGAACCACGACTTTGACTGGGACAACACCAAGATTCTGGGACAGGCTAGGCAGAGACAAGCACAAGAATTCCTGGAAGCATGGCACTCCACAAAGCATGCTATTAATAAACACATTGAACTCGACCCCATATACATTCCACTACGAAGGAAACCCGGAAGTGAGGCAATCCATCGCAATGGACCCCAGAGTTTAAAAACCAGGTGGGAAAACACACCGATGCTTCATCAGAGGCTGCACTGAGGATGTTACCAAGCACGGTAACGAAACGTCTGCGGAACAACAAACCAGCTCGGCGAGCCAACCAACCTCAATTAGCTTACCCTTGCTCACTGAACCAGAGCCCAGGCCTGGGTGTAGGTGAAGGCCCCACTCTAACTACCAGAGCTTATAGTGCAATGAAACTCCAAGCAACAGGTTAAGCCTATACTTTGGAAAAGGGAGGAAGGATCTGGGGAAGGAAGAAGACAAATAAATCGAAAATCCATGTTAAATAATCTTTTTACAAAAGACTTGCATTTCTGGAGCATTTTGTAAGGCCAACAGACTTCTCCAAAGAGCCGCAGAAATGATACAGCACAGGGGGCCATTTGGCCCATCTTGTCCATGCCAAACCAAAAACACCCAGGTGCCCTTTTTAATCCCATCTTCCTGCACACAGCCTATAGCCAAGCCACTTACAGCGCATAAGGTGCAGATCCAGGTACTTCTTAAAAGAGTTTAAGGTATCTGTCTCCACACTTAATACACAGAATGAATTCCAGGCACCAGCCAGCCTCTGCGTAATAAAGTTTTTCCTCATGTCCCTTCTAATACTTCTGCCACTGAGCATGAATCGATGGCTCTTGGTTTTGTAAAAAGAGATCATGAACTCTTTTGAGTTGTTGAACTCTCTCTCAAGGGAAACAGGTCCCTCCTGTCTACTCTATCTTTACCCTCACTATTTTGTATGCTAATGAATATACTAGTAAATCTGCTTTGCATTCTCTCAACAGCAATTACGTCCTTCCTGTAATGCGGTGATCAGAACTGCACACAATAGTCCTGTGTGGCCTCACCAGTGTCTTATACAGTTTCATCATTATATCTTTATTTCTGTACTCTATACCTCTGCCAGTGAAGGAGTGCATTCCATTTGCCTTCTTTACAACCTTATCTACCTGGACTGCTACCTTTAGGGACCTGTGCACTTGCACGCCAAGATCTCTCACTTCATCTACTCCTCTTAATATATTCCCATTTATTGTGTATTCCCTTTTACTGTTTGACCTCCCTAAATGCATTAGCTCACAGTTATCAGAGTTGAACTCCATCTGCCACTTTCTTGCCCACTCCACCAATCCACCTATATGGTTTTGGAGCTTACAGCTATCCTCTACATTATCCACTATGTGGCCTTTTGGGTCGTCTGCAAATTTCCCAATTGTGCCCTCCACGTTCAGGCCTAAATTGTTAATGTATAAAACAACAGCAGGGGTCCCAACACCAAACCCTGAGGAACACCACTGGAAACAGCTTTCCATTCACAAGGGCAGCCATCGACCATTATTGTTTCCCATTACTAAAGCCAATTTTGGATCCAATTCGACACATTTACCAGGATTGCCATGGGCTTTTACCTTTTCAACTAGCCTGTCATATGGGACCTTCACAAAGAGCTTTGCAGCCAATGAAGAAACATAGAATCCCTACAGTGTGGAAGCAGGCCATTCAGCCCATCAAGTCCACATCGACCCTCCAAAAAGCATACCACCCAGACCCACCCCCCAACATTATCCCCAAAACCCTGCATTTCCTATGGGTAACCCACCTAATCTACACATCCCTGAACACGATGGGCAATTTGGCATGGCCAATCCACCTTAACCTGCATATCTTTAGACTGTGGGAGGAAACCGGAGCACCCGGAGAAAACCCACGCAGACACAGGGTCTATCTATAACAATGCAGAGATAGACATTAAAGGTTTAAAACCGATAAATAAACAGAAGGCAAATACTCCATCTGTCTAACCTGGAAAAGCAAAATCAGCATCTGTGGTTTGTAGCGTGCAACCATACAAATAGGTCTCATAATGATTCTCGATTGTAATTGTTCTCCAGGGTTCTGATGCATTTAGTGCATGTAGGAACTGCTAACACTGCAGCTGTCAATCAAAACACTTCCACATCTGAAGTGCAAGACATATGTCAGAAGAAGTGCCAATTCTGACTTTTGCTCAGCAAATTGATCAACGGTATGTCTATTCAGCTCAAAGAAGAAAGGAATTTTACATCAGTTGACAAGCCTGCCAACTGACTGGGTTAGTTTTACTGTTGCTGCGCTCATTCTCAACACCATTCTAAATGAGCTGCACATTTCCATAGTGAAGTTTCGGTCAATCCCTGACATTTGTGGATAATAAATTTCACATCTGTGAGTGTTAGTAAATGAATATTAAAGTTTTATTTCATATAATTCTTGAATTAATTTAACTTTAATAAATCAGCATCTTAAACGCTGCTGGTTGAACGAAGAGAAATTATTCAATAATGATTCAAAACATCCAGCTGAACCAGAAATAGACTTTGAACATTGTGTTCATGGTAACTGTACTGAAAAGTATGTTTCTTTGCTGATTCTGTAGAATAGCAAAATCGTAAGTGTTTTCAGGGTTACGAGATTGTATTTATCATCCCATCCTTCTGCATCTATTAATCGCTTCCCCTCACCACTGACAGCCTCAAGCTCTGGGATTTCCTCCCTCTGCTTCTTTAAAATACTTCATAAAGCCTGCCACTTTGACCAACGAAGGACTCCGCTGTCCTAGTATCTCCTTCTTTGATTCACTGTAAATTTTTTATCTACGGTAAAGAGAATATATAAATGTATGTCATTCTGTTTGTTCCAGCCTTGACATGCTTACAGAAGACGATACTGCCACCATAACTGGAACATTAATGCATACCAAAGCTGCCTTACAATTGGCACTTATAACTGTATAGCTGTCTTTGTTTCTGGTACACTTAGAAGGTTGAACTGGATTAGATATATAAATGTTGCAGCCACAAGAGCAAGTTAGAGACTAAGAATCCTGCACTGTGTAACTCATCTCCATTCTCCCCAAAAGCTTGCCCACAATGTACAAGGCCCAAGTGCGGAGTGTGATGAAATACTCCCCACTTGCCTGGACGGGTGCAGCTCCAAAAACACTCAAGAAGCTCACCAACATCCAGAAAAAAGCAGCCTGCTTGATTGGCACCACATTCACAGCCTTCAACATTCACTACCCACACACAGTGGCTGCAGCATGTACCATCCGCAAGATACACTGCAGTAACTCATGAAGGTTTCTTCCAAATCCATGACCTCTGTCACCTAGGAGGCCAAGGGCAATGGGGATACACAGGATAACCACCACCAGCAAGGCGCCCTCCAAGCCATACACCATCCTGAGTTGGAATTACATCATGGTTCCTTCATTGCTGCAGGGTCATAATCGTGGAACTCCCTTCCTAATATTACTGGGTGCACCTAACCTCCCTGTGGGCTGCACCATTTCAAGATGTGACCTTCCCCAGAGCAATCAAGGATAGGCAATAAATGTTGGCCCAACCAGTTTGAACCTACAGCCTTTGAATGCATGCTAAAGAAAGGTTTAAACCTGCACATGTTGGCAATGCCATATCTTCCAGCTGGTACAGGTAGTTTCAGGAGAGGGGAGTGGCATGTGCACTTTACACTATGAACAGACCAACTTGGCAGTGAAACCCACACTTCGTTGAGTCGATAACACCTAATCAACTGTTAAGATTTTTAGTGCTGCTTAATTGAATATGCAAATATAATTTATCAGGATTTGCAGTTAGTGTCTACTATTCAGATCTGATTGTTACCAGGAATATTGTGTTTATCTGTGAATGAATTTCACGCTGTTCGCTGGCTACTTTTCAACAACAGCAAATCCACAAGAGCAGAGATTGATCATCCTTACCTCTCTGTGCTTGGCACTGCGACATCTAAGTCACAGGTTGAGTAACAGTTCTGCCTCAGGTCTTCAGCTAGAGCACTGATTAATTCCATGTTTGGTGTGTCAAGTGGTATATCTTGGAAATGCTGCTCCATAGATTCCTGAATGACATCACCAGTGCCCTCCTGATCACTTGAATCCCATGGGTGGTCCTGTGGAGGGAAACCTCGGGGCTTCTTTTCATCTTCATCCAGTTCAGATCCTCGAATCAGCTGTGGATCAATTGTAGTCAGCACAGACAACTCTTTCACTGGCGAAGAAACTGGAGTCTAGCATTTAAAAACACAGCAAGACAGAGAGAAGTTTGATGCACAGTCTGCATATTTTGATCAGATGCATATAAAGAAAGGCCAAGGCCTTACTGGGTACGTTCCAACAGTTCTCTGTCAATCCTCATGAGAAACGTGAAAAATACATCACTATCCTTTACTGTAAATGATCTAATATAACATTGTAAAACTGTCCGGCAGTAGATTTATGTTGAGAAGTAAGGCTTAAAACTGCTTATCAGGGTCTTTAATACTGCATTTTATCCAACATTAAACTGATCATCTGGTGGTACCTGGGGAAGACTCACTCTGGGAAAATTTGGGTTTGAACACTCATTCAACCTTCTTCATTTCATCATTTCTTGGGATTTGTCGAATTGACTTATTTTGCTTTTGTTGCACAACAGTTATTTCCCTACCTCTAGACCAGTAAGCCAGGGTTAATGTCCTATCGGGCCCAGAGGTGTGCAATAACTACTCTGAACAGGTTGATTTAAGAAATATATCTGGAATTGGCTATTCAACTAGATTATAGAATTAATAGAAAGTTGCGTTACATCTACCATGACATCTACCTCAAAGAGTCATGGAGTTGTACAGCACAGAAACAGAACCTTTGGGTGCAACTTGTCCATGCTGACCAGATATCCTATATTAATCTAGTTCCATCTGCCAGCATTTTGCCTATATCCCTCTAAACACTTCCTATTTATGTACCCAAACTGATGCCTTTTAAATGTTGTAATTGTACCAGCCTCCACCAATTCCTCTGGCAGCTTATTCCATACACCCTCTGTGAAAAAGTTGCCCTTAGGTCCTTTTCATATCTTTTTGCTCTCACCTTAAACCTATGCCGTCTAGTTTTGGACTAAGTATGTGTCCCTGGGTGAGCATATGAACAGTGGTAACTGTGTGAATGTATAAGCAAATCCCTGAGGCTGCTCTCCACCAACATCAAGGCCTCAGGCTTACAAACATAAAGAATCATTTCAGCAGCCTTTTTGCTATTAACATATATGAGGAGACAATGCTAAATGTTGGCCTTTGTTTCAAACAGAATGAAGAGCAAAATAGAAAAGGTTGCAGACTTGCTCACCGAGCTGGTGTGTTTGGTTACAGACGTTTCATCACCCTGCTGGGTAACATCATCAGCGCGCCTCCGGTGAAGCGTCGGTGTTCTGTCCCACTTGTTATTTATATGCCTCAGTTTGCTGGGGTGTTTGGCATCACTTCCGGTTCTGTTTCTCAGTGGTTTGTACATCGGGTATAATTCAATGAGTTTGATAATGGAGTTCTGGTTGGAATGCCAGGCCTCCAGGAATTCCCTGGCATGTCTCTGTTTGGCTCGTACTATTATGGATGTGTTGTCCCAGTTGAATTTGTGTCCTTCTTTGTCCGTGTGTATTGAGACCAGTGAGAATTGGTCGTGTCTCTTGGTGGTTGGTTGGTGTTTGTGTATCCTTATTGACAGCTTTCTTCCAGTTTGGCCTATGTAATGCTTCTCACTGTCCCTGCATGGCATTTTGTATATTACATTAGTTTTATTGGTTGTGGGTATGGGATCCTTTACCTTTGTCAGTAGCTGTCGCAGGGTTGTGGTTGGTTTGTGGGCTACCCTGATACCTAGGGGTCTGAGTAGTTTAGTGGCCATCTGTGATATGTCTCCGATGTACAGTACAGTGATTAGTGAGTCTAGCTATGTTGTGTCTTCTTGTTGTGGTCTGTCACAGAGGTAATGGTGGATTGTGCTTTTTGGGTATCCATTCCTTTTAAAAATTCCATATAAGTGCTCCTGTTCTGCTTTGAGCAATTCCGGATTGCTGCAGTGTGTTGCGGCCGGTTTGAATAATGTCCCAATGCAGCTCAGTTTACGGGTATTGGGGTGGTTGCTGGTGTAATTCGGTATCTGGTCTGTGTGTGTGGTCTCTCTGTATACACTAATCTGGAGTTCTCCGTTGCTCTTACATTCTACATTATGTCTAGGAAGGGTAGTTGGTTATTGTTCTTTTCTTCTAGTGTGAATGTTATTCTGGTGAGGATGTTGTTTATATGTCGGTGGATCCGCTATGTAAATGACACCTTTGTGATTATCAAATGCACAATACTGGAAGAAACCCACCAACACACAAACAACATCCTCACCGGAATAAAATTCACACTAGAAGAAAAGAACAATAACCAACTACCCTTCCTGGACATAACGGTAGAATGTAAGAGCGACGGGGAGCTCCAGACTAGCGTACACAGAAAGACCACACACACGGACCAGATACTTAATTACTCCAGCAGCCACCCCAACACCCATAAACCGAGCTGCGTCGGGACATTATTCAAACCGGCCACAACACACTGCAGCAATCCGGAATTGCTCAAAGCAGAACAGGAGCACTTATGCAGAATTTTTAAAAGGAATGGATACCCAAAAAGCACAATCCACCATTACCTCTGTGACAGACCACAACAAGAAGACACAACACGGCCAGACACAATATCAACCTACCTTACATCAGAGACATATCACAGATGGCCACAGGACTACTCAGACCCCTAGGTATCAGGGTAGCCCACAAACCAACCACGACCCTGTGACAGCTACTGACAAAGGTAAAGGATCCCATACCCACAACCAATAAAACTAATGTAATATACAAAATGCCATGCAAGGACTATGAGAAACATTACATAGGCCAAACTGGAAGAAAGCTGACAATAGGGTACACAAACACCAACCAACCACCAAGAGACACGACCAATTCTCACTGGTCTCGATGCACACGGACAAAGAAGGACACAAATTCAACTGGGACAACACATCCATAATAGTATGAGCCAAACAGAGACATGCCAGGGAACTCCTGGAGGCCTGGCATTCCAACCAGAACTCCTTCAACAAACACATTGAATTATACCCGATGTACAAACCACTGAGAAACAGAACTGGAAGTGATGCCAAACACCCCAACAAACCGAGGCATATAAATAACAAGCGGGACAGAACACCGAAGCTTCACCGGAGGCGCGCTGACGATGTTACCTAGCAGGGTGATGAAACGTCTGTAACCAAACACACTGGCTTGGCGAGCAAGTCTACGACCTCATCCACAACCTGAGCTACAAATCTTCTCAAAAACCGTAAACAAAATAGGAAAATTTTGCTAAAACTATACAAAGTATGAGTCAAATCACTGCTGGAATACTGTGAATGGTTTCAGGCCCTTTATCTAAAGAAAAATGGACTGGCATTTGAGGCAGTCCAGTTCACTAGGCTGGTAGTGGGCATGGAGGGACTGTCTTATGAGGAGTGGTTGAGTAGATTGGGCCTGGACTCAGTAGAATTTCAAAGAATGAGAAGAAGAATTGAAGTATATATGATTCTTAGGAGATTTGACAGGGTAGATGCAGTAAGGTTGTTTCCCCTTGTGGGAGAGTCTAGGACCAGGGAGCATCATCTCTGATTAAGGGGCCGCCCCATTTAAGACAGAGATGAGGAGGAATTTCTCCTTTCAGAGGGTAGTGAATTCTTTATCACACAGGGCTGTCCAGGCTGAGTTGTTAAGTACATTCGAGGGTGAGACAGCCAGATTTTCAATCAGGAAGGGAATAGAGCCAGCGTTATGGGAAAAAGACCGGAAAGTAGTGTTGAGGGTTACCAGATCAGCCATGATCTCACTGAATGGTGCAGCAGACTTGATGGGCTGAATGGCCTATTTTCCTCCTACGTCTTTTGGCTTTATGGATGAAAAGCAATACGTAGTAGGTACAGAAAGGGTCTTTGTCTGTTCACCACTTCCAGTGGATTCAATAGATACAGTCAGTTGAAGGATATCATTAATCTGGAGAGGGTTCAGAAGAGAATTATCAGGATGTTGCTGGGTATAGAAGGTTTGAGTTGTAAAGAAAGGCTGGATAGACTGGGATTTTTTCACCAGAGTTTAGGAGGTTGAGAGGTGATCTTACAGAGATTTATAAAATCATGAGGGGTATAGATAGGGTTAATGGTAGTTGTCTTTTCCCTAGGATGGGGATTTCAAGAAAAGGGGGCACATTTTTAAGGTGAGAGGGGAAAGATTTAAAAAAAGACACGAGGGGCAAATTTTTTACACAGAAGGTAGTTCACATGTGGAATGACCTTCCCAAGGAAGTGGTGGATGTGGGCACAGTTACAACATTTAAAAGACATTTCATAGGTACATGAATAGGAAAGTTTTGGAGGGATATGGGCCAGGAGCAGGCAGGTGGATCTAGTTCAGTTTGGGACTGTGTTCGGCACGGACTGTTTGGACTAAAGTGTCTGTTTCCATGCTGTATGAATCTATGGCCTGAACTTCAACTCCACCCAAAGTGGCTCGTGTACACATTTAAAGCATCATCCACTCTTTAAACTCTCTGTAAACCATTAGCATTCAATGAATTTACCAGTAGGTTAGGATCTATTTCAGGTAGGGTTCCTGGTGCTGGCCTGCACATGCTCATTGTAACCTCAGGGGGAGCTCCTCGCAGCAGATGAAGTACCTCCTGTTGAAATTGAGATAGCAGTTGGAACAAAAACCTTGATTAGTTTACCATCTATTTGCAATAACACTGAATTATAGATGCAAACGCCACAGTGAAGCTACATTGGCATTCATTAGAATGAGCTGTGACTATTTCAATTTATGACATTAATTATTTTCATTGGCATGTTGAAATAATGATATAAACACTAGAACGGAACATAGCTGGGCACCATTAAAACCCTGGCAGAGATATAATGCTGGAGTCAAGGAATGATGAATGGGTTCTTGTTTACAAGTAAGTGCAACCAGATATAATCAAATATAGTTTAGCTAGTCAGTGAGCTTACAACTAAGGTTATCCTTGTGCTCTAAAGCGCAGAACATGTTTGAATGGCTAATTCAAATATCTCTTCTCTGTATACAAACGTAACATGTTCACAGTTGATTAGAACAGAAATTATGACATCTGCCCATATTGTATTATAAATAGTACCTGGTTTCATCCCACTGTCCAAAGACGTGCAGGTTTGGTGGATTGGCCATGCTAAATTGCCCACAGCGTCTAGGGTGGGAAAAGCAGGGATAGGATAAGGGGTGGGTCTGGGTGGGATGCTCTTTGGAGGGTTGGTGTGGACTCAATGGGCCAAATGGCCTGCTTCCACGCTGTAAGGATTCTATGATTCTGTGAAATGTTAACTGCTGACTAAACGTTGATTCATAACACATGACAAAGATGCTCATACATTGTATCAGAGATAGTAGGAACTGCAGATGCTGGAGAATCTGAGACAACAAGGTGTAGAGCTGGATGAACACAGCAGGCCAAGCAGCATCATAGGAGCAGGAAGGCTGACGTTTTGGGCCTAGACCCTTCATCAGAAATGGGGGAGGGGAAGGGGGTTCTGAACTAAATAGGGAGAAAGGGGGAGGCGGATAGAAGATGGATAGAGGAGAAGATAGGTGGAGAGGAAACAGACAGGTCAAAGAGGTGGGGATGGAGCCAGTAAAGGTGAGTGTAGGTGGGGAGGTAGGGAGGAGATAGGTCAGTCCAGGGAGGACAGACAGGTCAAGGGGGCGGGATGAGGTTAGTAGGTAGGAAATGGGGTGCGGCTTGAGGTGGGAGGAGGGGATAGGTGGGAGGAAGAACAGGTTAGGGAGGCGGGGACAAGCTGGGCTGGTTTTGGGATGCGGTAGGGGGAGGGGAGATTTTGAGGCTTGTGAAATCCACATTGATACCATTGGGCTGCAGGGTTCCCAAGCGGAATATGAGTTGCTGTTCTTGCAACCTTCGGCTGGCATCGTTGTGGCACTGCAGGAGGCCCAGGATGGACATGTCATCTGAGGAGTGGGAGGGGGAGTTGAAATGGTTCACGACTGGGAGGTGCAGTTGTTTATTGCGAACCGAGCGTAGGTGTTCTGCAAAGCGGTCCCCAAGCCTCCGCTTGGTTTCCCCGATGTAGAGGAGGCCACAACAGGAACAGCAGATACAGTATACCACATTAGCAGATGTGCAGGTGAACATCTGCTTGATGTGGAAAGTCTTCTTGGGGCCTGGGATGGGGGTGAGGGAGGAGGTGTAGGGGCAGGTGTAGCACTTCCTGCGGTTGCAGGGAAAAGTGCCGGGTGTGGTGGGGCTGGAGGGGAGTGTGGAGCGGACAAGGGAGTCACGGAGAGAGTGGTCCCTCCGGAAAGCAGATAAGGGTGGGGAGGGAAAAATGTCTTTGGTGGTGGGGTCGGATTGCAGATGGCGGAAGTGTCGGAGGATGATGCGTTGGATCCGGAGGTTGGTGGGGTGGTACGTGAGGACGAGGGGGACTCTTTTTTGGTTGTTATTGCGGGGATGGGGTATGAGGGATGAGTTTGCTCATACATTGCTCAGGTCAAAGGTCAGCCAGTTGGACTGGTCATACAACGATGGACTTGGTTGCCTGCTACAGATACAAAACATGGAAGAAACCTTGAGGGCAAATTTAAGAAAAGAATTAATATGGTCAAAATAGGTCAAATGTGGAACAATTGCAGTCAAGAAAGGTCAGAGATAGCTTCATAAGGGATCAGCCTCTGGTAAAGTACTCACCTGATAGGATAGTCCCTTTAGGTGGGTTTGATTCACTGCTAAGATGACGTCCCCGATTTCAATCTGGCCGGTCTCCTCTGCTGGTTGCCCTGGAAACAATTTCTTTATTCTCACCAAACTCCCTCCTGGGTCATTGTCTGCTGGATACATCTGCAGGAAACTGAACCCCAAACCTGCTGAATTCTTCTTCATTGTCACCTCGAACGTGTTACCTGTTGGGGATGTTGTGTTACGTTAATGGAAATATACAGAGTGCACACTTTTCCTTGGCTTTTTATTCGGCATGGAAATTATTCACAAACCCTCAGAAACCCCATCTATCGAACCGACGGGATGAAATTCAGCACGTACTTCCCAGTGAACTCTAATCACAACCCATGCTGGAACTTCTAGAGATGGGGCAAGGGGTGGAGGTGAGTTAATTGAGTCCCAGGAGGCAGGTTAGTTCGTGAAATCTTTTAATGAGCTTGGTATATTTTACAGCAGACATTCAGCATTCCCAGGCATCAGGAAACGTCACAGCTGAAAGGAGATAGGGACAATTGTAGAGTCATAAAGGTGTACAATATGGAAACAGACCCTTCAGTCCGACTCATCCTTGCCGACCAGATATCCTAAATGAATCTGTCCCATTTGCAGCTTTTGGCCCACGTCCCGCTAAACCCTTCCTATTCATATACTGATCAAGATACCTTTTAAATATCATAATTGGACCAGCCTCCACCACCTCCTCTGGCAGTTCATTCCATTCACACGCCTCACTCTGTGTGAAAAAGTTGTCCCTTAGGTCCCTTTTAAATCTTCCCCTCTCACCTTAAACCTATGCCCTCTAGTTTTGGACTCCACTGCCCTAGGAAAGAAACCTTAGTTATTTGGAGAGATTAACATGCGCTTATAATTTAATCTCTAAACCCTAGCATGATTCTGATAAGTATCCTTTTTATTCCCTCCAATACAGGGGAAGATAGTTTGTGGTGCTTTTACAATGGTAACTCCTCACCTGGAGCAAATGGGATCCTGTGTATCTCTCAACTAATTTCCCTCAACATCAGCCAGAGGGTGTTAGATGCGAGGACTTGGAACTTTATGTTTGAAAAGTCCATCTAGCTCCCTCACTCAATGCCAGAAAGCCAGTCAAGACCTTCAACTTCTTCCTGACTGTCCAAAAAAACAACTGTCTTTTAATGGGGTGGTGGAGTGGCTCAGTGGCTAGCACTGCTGCCTCACAGCACCAGGGACCAGGTTCAATTCCATCCTTGGGCATCTGTCTGTGTGGTGTTTGTACATTCTCCCTGTGTCTGTGTGGGTGTCCTCCAGGTGCTCCCGTTTCCTCCCACAGTCCAAAGACGTGCAGGTTAGGTGGATTGGCCATGCTAAATTGTCCATGGTGTCCAGGGATGTGCTTGGTGGATTAGCCATGGGAAATATAGGATTACAGAGATGGGGTAGGGGTGTGGATCTGGATGGGATGCTCTTCAGAGGGATGGCGAGGACTCAATGGGCTGAATGTCCTGCCCCCAAACTGTAGGGATTCTATGATTCCAGATTATAATTCTCCCCATGTTGTAAGGGTCTGGGTGAAACTCCTCATAAAATGTTGCCCCACTAAAGGAAACTGGGGTTTAGAGGTTAAATTATGAGGGCATGTTAATCTCTCCCTGCAACCAGTTATGTTTGCTGAGTGTTTCATATACAAGATTAGATCAGTCCTTTAAATTTTTTGTAAACACATAAATTTAATCTTATGAGAAAGCAAATCAATATTATAAAAAATGCAATTTTGGTGGTTACATTTAGGATATAAATCACAAAGCTAAATAATGTCCTAGAGAAGAAGATAACTAGTTCTTATTTCAATGAGAGAATCCCAACTTCCACCTCGAGCCAATATAAATGCAAGACATTCAAGGAAAGCAAGGATGCCTGTCAAACACCAAAGTAATATTAATTATTGCTGAAAGAAAGACGTGTGTTTTGTCAAAATGTTCCATCTTGCACTCATCAGGACAGTTTGCAAGAATACAAATTCAAAAACAACATTCATACTGCATCAGAGGAAAGTGCTGATTGGTTGGCAAGTGTGTTCTGACTGCCAGGAGGATTGCCACAAAGAATCCAACAGTTAATGACGATTGACAGTTAACTGTCGGGTTTCAGTTTAAACTTTAAACCAGGTACATTGACATTGATTGATCAGAGTTTTGCCCTGGAAAATGAACCAGTGAGTGGCTGTCATCTATTTTGTTGAATTGGCATAGGACTTGTAAATGTTCTTACTTTCTGCAAAGAACACAGACATCTGTTAATATCTGTAACTTGCTATTTACATAACTACGCCTCACCATGAGTCTAACTGATAATCCTAGAATGACTGTCAATATAATCCTTTGCATACTCAAGATTATCCAACAATTGTTGCCCAATTGCGGAATCACATGTAATTTTAGATATTGTGTTGTGAGAACTGTGCTTTCTCTTTTTATTTCAGATTTCCAGCATTCGCAAGATTTTGCTTTTACAGTGTCTATGGATGCTCCCCCAATCCACCATGCTAGCAAACTCAAAAAAATCAACCAGCTGGTCAAACGTCAACCACAAATCCGTGCTGGCTCTCCCTGATCAACTCAGAGTTGTCCAGTTGCTCAGCCAGTCTCTCCCAGCTGGTTGATTCCAGTGACTTCCTTATATTTGATGTCGAACCTCCAAGTCTGCTGATACCTGTCTTGTCCCTTCCTCCCTTCTTAAATATTGGAATGACACTTGCAATTTTGGTGCAAGTCCTGAATCCAGAGAGCTTTGGAACGTTATGCCTAATCCACTCCTTTCAACATAAAAGGCAGACCCTGGAAATTGGTCTCTCATAAGTCGCATCATTATTACAAACATTAAGAAAATTATATTCAGTCCACTGATTTCACCCTCTTGTTTAGCTTTTGGTTCTCATGCACTTGTGGTATTTTGTTCTCTTGTGAAAGTAGATAATTTATTTCCTTATTGTCCATTATTACTGTCCTTGTTGAATGAGCCCAAGTTCCTCTTTTCCACTTCCTTTCCCTCAATATATTTAGAAATAAAATTGCTGTCAGTTTGGGTATCCTTTCAACATGTTCCCCCCATATTTCCTTTATACCACCTTCTATTACTTTTTTTTATGTCTTCTTTCATTTATATAGTCTGCTGTTTTTCCATTTTTGTATTTACTCCAAAAATAGTACGCTCTTTGTACAATGATGTGAAGTGAAATGATCCCCACAGACTGAAGATGATCTGGAGTGATGAGTCCATCACTTAGACATTTTTAATTCATAAGGTGCTTTAGATTTTACTTTGTTTGTGATAAAAATATAATTTAGCCTCAAAGTGGAAAGGGTTGGAGGGGGGGAGTCAAACTGTTTGCAAGACAATTAGGCAAATTATTTGACGCAGTAAATTGCCAAGGAAATAAAATCTAGTCAACAAGGCATACTGTTGGGTTGAAATTATGGTCAGCCCAGGGTTAATCTAAAACCTGGAATATTGCGTACAGTTCTACCACACTACCGGAAGGATGTGGAGGCTTTGGAGAGGGTACAGAAAAGGTTTACCACGATGCAGCCTGGTTTGGAAGGTATTAGCCATGAGGAGAGATTGGACAAACTTGGTTTGTTTTCACTTGAACGTCAATGAATGAGGGGGTGACCTGATAGAAGTTTACAAAATGATGACAGGTATGGATAGAATGGATAGTATTTTTCTCCCAGGATAGAAATGTCAAATACTAGGGGTTAAAGGTTTAAGGTAAAAGGGGAAATATTTAAAGGGGATGTGAGAGCAAGTCGCTCACATAGAGGGTTGTAAGTGCCTAGGGTGCCCAGCCAGATGAGGTGGCAAAAGCAGATACAACAACAATCTTTAAGAGGTATCTTGAGAGGTATATGAGGCAGGGAATAGAGGGATACAGACCGTATAGAGGCAAAACCTTTAAAGTTTTTTTTCTATTCATTTGTGGGATGTGGGCATCGCTGGCTGGCCAGCATTTATTGTCCATCCCTAGTTGCCCTTGAGAAGGTGTTGGTGAGCTGCCTTCTTGAACCACTGCAGTCCACCTGCTGTAGGTTGACCCACAATGACATTAGGGAGATTTTGACCCAGCAACAGTGATATATTTTCAAGTCAGGATGGTGAGTGGCTTGGAAGGGAACTTGGAGGTGGTGGTGTTCCCATATGTCTGCTGTCCTTGTACTTCTAGATGGAAGTGGTCGTGGGTTTGGAAGGTGCTGTCTGAAGAGCTTTGGTGAATTTCTGCAGTGCGTCTTGTAGATAGTACACACTGCTGCTACTGAGCGTCGGTGGTGGAGGGAGTGGATGCTTGTGGATGTTGCGCCAATCAAGCGGGCTGCTTTGCCCTGGATGGTGTCAGGCTTCTTGAGTGTTGGGGCTGCACCCATCCAGGCAAGTGGGCAGTATTCCGTCACACTCCTGACTTGTGCCTTGTAGATGGTGGGCAGGCTTCGAAGAGTCACAAGATGAGTTACTCACTGCAGTGTTCCTAGCTTCTGGCCTGCTCTTGTAGCCACACTGTTAATGCGCTGAGTCCAGTTGAGCTTCTTGTCAATGATAATCCCCTGGATGTTGATAGTGGGCGAATTCAGTAATGGCAACATCATTGAATGTCAAGGGGTGGTGGTTAGAAAGTTTACAAAGGTGTCATGTGCTGCCAACGTTTTGCTGGGCTAAAGGGCCTGTTCTATATAGTACTGTACGTTGTTTAAGTGAATAATGTAGAAAATAGGAGCAGGAGTAGGCTATTCAGGCCTTTGAGCCAATCGACCATTCAGTATGATCATGACTGATCCTCTATCTCAATGCCATATTCCCACTTTCTCACCATGCCCCTTGATGCTTTTAATATTTAAAAATTTATCAATCTCTTTCTTGAATGTACTTAGTGATATGACCTCCAGTGTGTCTTCTGTAAAGTTTCAACTGATAAATTTAGCTCTCACTTTGCTTACAGCTATCAAGCCAAAAGGGGCACCGACTGTGTGAAACAGAGTTTTTGTTTTAGGTGGGAGAATAGCCCAGTGCCATTTTTGGCAAAGCTTGTGAACAATTTATGTATACCTAAGCAAGTGTACTTCACCGTGTAAAGTGCATCACAAACTTTGCAGCAAATCCTCACTTAATCAGTAACTGTCATCTCAATTCAGAAATCCTGTGCTCCCAAGGGGGAGACTCATTCAGGGAGTGTGGGTTGGAAATCTGATACTAAACTGTTGTACACAGTGTTCAAGCAGAGCGGGACAGTATGATTTCTGCATTTATCCTTCCTCACTCCACTTATTGGTCCTCCATGTTTGTCTGAGAATACCAATAATCTGCACTTATACATCACCTTTAATTTTGTAAAATATTCCAGGGCACATCACAGGAGTGCAACTCAACAAAGAAAGGCATTGGAAGTGGGAGATGCACATGAGACTTGAGTTGGAGGGATGCATTGTTGACAGTAGATTTTTTGGCTAAAGGGGATTACAGAGATCAGATGGAGTGAGTCTACAAGAGATGGAAGAGATCAGCTGATCCCTGTCAGTCCAAACTGTGGTATCACCATTCATATTTTCACAATTGTGTTCGTAAAATTTTGGTTGTCCTGTGCTCACTAATATTCTGGTTTACTAGCACGATGGCTCAGTGGTTAGCACTGTTGCCTCACAGCACCAGGGACCCGAGTTCGATTCCACCCTTAGGTGACTATCTGTTTGGAGTTTGTACATTCTCCCCGTGTCCGCGTGGGTTTCCTCCCACAGTCCAAAGATGTGCAGGCTAGGTGGATTGGCCATGCTAAATCGCCCATATTGATTGAGGATGTGTGGGTTAGGTATTCTTCGGGGGGTTGGTGTGGACTTATTGGGCCGAATAGCCTGCTTCCACACTGTGGGGACTCTATGATATGACATTTTGTATAGTTGCTGTTATTGAATGGAGAGTTCCATGGAACTAACATTGTGTAAAATGTACAATTTTAACAATGACTTTATGGGTTTCTGATAGTTATTATATATATATGTAGACTTTAAGGGTTGTCATAAGGGAAATGATATTGAAATATGATAGGCTGTTGTACTCTAATAAAATTATAATAGAGCATCTTCCCTTTCATTCATCATCCTCCAATCTGTTCCATTGTTCTAAAGATAATAACCAGGATATTACAACAAACTCCACTTTCAAATGGGTTATATATTTAATGAACAGTGAGGAAATGCACATTGAGAAAGGTTCTTTAACACACAAACCAGCACAGGAATAATTTTGATCAGATCTTAAGTCATTTAAATTTATAACTTATTTAGAAAAGTATAATTACCGCATTATTGCCATTCACTACTAAGCTCACAGAAGGTGATAACATGTTGGTCTTTGACATCTAGCGCTGTGAATCTAGTTGTGTGTTAAGAGTTGAAAGGATGGTCCTGCATGTAGTAATTTAATCAGCATTTCAGGTTATAATTGAATTCATTAAAATGTAACTGCAGGGAGGTCTATTTCTGAAATATATTAATTATTCTGTGTAATCTTGTATCTGTTTCATGTTTGTAAAATAACATTTATCTATGTCTTGCCTTTGCAGGTTATCAGCAGTTTAGAGGTTTAAGTATAAACCATTTTAGAATGCCAGATCTTTATTTCTCTCAAGCAGATTTCATCTGTGCTATTGGCGAGATGTAGCTATTTTCTAATAAACCTGCTCAGACATGTTGTGATACACCTCCAGAGTAGGTGGGACATGAACTTGAGCCTTCTGACCCACAGGTAGGGACACTACCACTGCACCACAGAAGTTCCAAATGACGAGATGTATACTGTCTTTGAAGCAGCCACGTCTAAAACAGCGCTTGTCTGAATATTTAAATTGCATTTTAGATCAATGAATCAACATTTAATGGACTGGGCTTGTGAGATCGGTCTTAGTTTTATGCCCTTTTGGGTTACTCCTTGAAATGATTGCATGAGGCATCATGAGCTGTGGGAATGTAAGAAAGTGTCTTTCTGTCAAATGCAAGTGTTTAAAAAGGAGCAAAAGTTAGAATAGAATATCCTTTACTATTCATTGTTAAACAAATGCTGTAACTCCCAAATTCCCACTCCATGCTCGGGACTAATTGCGCAGATAGAGACCATTATTTTAGTCTAAATAACATATAGTTTCATATATGCCTAGGGAACGGAACAGAATTCGGGAGAGGAGAAAGCATTGCACACACCAACCCACGCACAGGCTCATATTTAAGGTGTGGAATTAATGGTTTATCCAGAATATATCACTCTCATTGGATGTTGATACACACACTGAATAGGATAACAGTTGAAGAGTTATCATGCTGGAACAGAAACGTGGGGGTTCATGTGAACAAATCCCACCATTTCAATTTGTAAAACTGTATTTAATAAATCTGTTCATTTGTGGGCTAGCTCTGGGAGGAAAATGCCTCTGAAAGCTGTTCAGTTTTCAAAAGGCCACCTGGTTCACTAATATTCTTCAGGGAAAGAACTCTGTCATCTGATCAGACCTGGCCTACCTGTGACTCCTGTTCTATGCAGTTGAAGTTCAATACCCTCACATCTTGAGTAATGTGCAAGAAATCCTGGCTTTTCCATGCCTTCCACATTCCAAGAACACACGTTAAAACACGTTAATTGTGTTTACGTAATAAAGTGATGAGGCATTATGTGAGGTTCTTCCATTTTAGGGGTTCTGCTGTAAGTTAGCACACCACAGCCAGAGTTAAGAGGTAAGAATGACAAGCAGCATTAGATAAGCAATGAGCTCAGGGCTAAAAGCACACTTTTTGAGTTTTAAGGTGCCTTTTCATCAATAATTGATCTGATCTGGGGCCAATGAAAAAAGATTCCATTGGGATGAATCAATAGTTTTCCTAACTTCTCAAGTATTTCTAAGGCATGAGACAATTGGATGGCTGATGGGAAAGAAAAAGGATTACTTATGATCCTGAGTAGTAGGAACAATCTTGGATGGATCCTTCAATCTGGAATTTTGCATTGTGTGCTGTAATATAACAATATTAATGCTATGACATTGCTGATATCAGACAAATACAATTGGGAATAAGAAGCTAAGTGTTAGGGTGCAGTAGTGAGTTAGCTACATCACTGAGAATCACAGTGTTATAGAGTATGGGTAAAATTGCCATCGTCCCAAAGATTTAAAAAGGACTAAGGGAAATTTTTTCATGTAGAGGGTGGTGTGTGTATGAAATGAGCTGTCAGAGGAAGTGGTGGAGGCTAGTACAATTACAACATTTAAAAGGCATCTGGATGGGTATATGAATAGGAAGGGTTTAGAGGGATATAGGCCAAATGCTGGCAAATGGGACAAGATTAACTTGGGATATCTGATCAGCATAGACAAGTTGGACTGAAGGGTCTGTTCCCATGCTGTACAACTCTTTGACTCTGCTCTCTCATTAGAGAGAGACAGCTAGTGGTGAGTTTAACTTGAGGGTCACCACATCTCAGGCAAGGACAGAGGTTGAGAAGGTGGGACTGATGCGATAAGCTCAGCCAGCATGGGAATTGGCCTCACAAACTGGCCGTCCAGCCCAAATGAGCTAACCCTTTCACATGCTGACAGAATGCAAACTAAAGCAGAGCTCTAGATATCCACAGCTGCTTAAGGTCACCCTGCAAGGCCATCTGCTGTCTCCCCAGTGTCACAAGTTGTGACATATTCATGGGGTGATATACTCGAACCTCAGGAGTTTTTACTCCCAGATCGCGCAGAGGATGTGTGATTATGCCCAGAGCTGGTGATTGCCCTCTACTCTGGCAGGAGCTATAACACTTTCATCAGATGCTAATCAGCCGTTCTTGCCATATTCTGTTAACATGATGCACCAGGGCCTGGCTAGTTGGTGACACGACCAGTCCACACTTGGCCCATCACATGTGGACAGTATACCTCATACAGAGGGCTCTTGTGGCAGTGTCCCTACCTCTGGTCCAGGTTCAAGTGCCCACCTGCTCTAGAGGTCTGTAATAACATCTCTGACAGATTGATTAGAAAATGCCTGCATTGTACAGGATTCATACTGCCATCAGAAACATCATGGATCAAAACAGCAATGTTCTGAACCAATAGCTCCACAATACAGGCAACCTGGGGGGTTGATTTGTTGCATTTGTCATGAGGCGTTTTTAGTCTTTTATGTGATGTAGATATCGCTAGCAAGGCCAGCAATTGTTGCTCGGCCTTAATTGTCCTTTAAGTGGCTTGCTCAGCCATTTCAGAGGGGGTTGACAGTTACCCACAATTCTCTGCATTGTGAGGCCACAATGTAGGCCAGACGGGGCAAGGGCAGCAGATTTCCTCCCTTCTTGGACCAGGCGTGACGTCACAACTATCGATGATAGTTTCATGGTTTCTATTACCGAGACTAGCTTTCAATTCCAGGTTAACTAAATTTAAATGACCCCAGCACCTATGTCTCTGGACCCCTGGAATACTCACCCAGTGATAGTACCATGACAACACCATCTCCCCTTTTCCAGTGATCCCCACATCTCCTGGCATTTAATTTAGCCAGGGTCACCTAGAATGTGGAACGCTTGGAAGAACGTCAGTTTGGTATTCTACATTATATCAATCAAAGTATTCCCATTTTGATATGTACGCACAACCATACTTTAGCTGTGATTATTCAGAATACATGATGAGCATTTTAAAAAAATGTTTTGCTACATTTCAAGTCGAACCTGTTGCCTTATGTATTTAATAGTGTTTGACTGGGGGAAAATCAAGTGCTTTTTCTATAAATTAATGACAACAATCGATGGCAAAAGTTGTCAATTTAACATTCTCTCCAATCTCTTTCTCTCTGAGCCGTGGAGATAAGTTATAAATTAGCCCCCACCCAAATAGAAAGAGCACTAGGTCCTACCATCTGTCATGAAGCTGTAGTCCTTGGGTACAGCCGACAAGGTTGTTTTCATGGAATCTTCGGGATATTTGTCTTGTTTCCTGTGCTGACTGTCAGTGAGAATGGGTCCCTGTTGGCTTTCCGAACTGGGAATCGCAGCTGTCACCTGCTGTCCTCTCTCAAACACCAGGCGCACCACCTGACAGAAGAGACATGGGGGAATTGAAGGAGTTATTTGTCAGACAGCAGGTCTGACCACACACAAAGGTCTACGCTGTCACATCTGCTTTGCTGCACATCCTATGCATTGTATCATCCCGAATGAAACTAAGCAGTAGACAGCAGATACAGGGGACACTGAAGCCTATGGATTTGTAATTCTACCCTCACATCATCCAATAGTAGCAATGGCTGAACCCAACTTATCATGTGGTTCCAGTGACCCCTTGTTCAACATAAAGAGGCTGGCATGGTGGCTCAGTGGTTAGCACTGCTGCTTCATCGCGCCAGGGACCTGGGTTCGATTCCATCCTCAGGCGACTGTCTGCGAAGTGTTTACACATTCTCCCCATGTCTGCGTGTCTTTCCTCCCACAGCCCAATGATGTGCAGGTTAGGTGGATTAGCCATACTAAAATTGCCCATAGAGTCCAGGGATGTGCAATTTAAGTGGGCTAACCATGGAAAATTCAGGGTTATAGAATATGGCGGTGGGTCTGATGGGATGCTCTTTGGAGGGTCGGTGCGGACTCAATGGGCTGAATGGCCTGTTTCCACACGTTACAGATTCTATGAAGAGGCATAGCCTGCCAGTAAGAAATATTTCTGCTTTATTTTTAAAAGGATAAATCATGTGAATCATGCCACATGATGTTGAACAGCAACCATTAAATGGAGATATTAAAAAGTCATGATCTTCATTGAAAAGTATCCAACAAATCAACTGCAAATTATTTTGGTCAGTGCAGAGACAGTATGAAAAAGTATAAATAAAAATCCTATAATATGCCTGAAATTGTAGCGTACATTGTTCACGCTGAAACTGTTATGATCAATGTTACACACAACTGCCTGTGGTTTTTCCATGTGTGGGAGGAAGATTGGTTAACTGGGTTACATTGATTCACTACAATACATGTGTATCAGTACATCACACCTATAGGGATCCTGTTACAGTAGAACAACTGCCTGTTCAACAACTGTATGACAACTGTTCAACACATGTACAACATGTTCAAATGTTCAATATCTCTAACATTTACATTTGGCAGTTACAGAACTCGAACATTGCTGTTAAAAAAAAAGACACGTTTTGTCAAAGCTTTTTTAGTCCTGCCCTCATTGGAACAATTCACAAGAAATAGCAATGTGAAGAGAAGACGACATTTACACTGCATGGGAGGAGAGTGTGGATTGGTTGGCAAGTGGACTGTAATTGCTATAATATACCAGTTAGATGATGACTGACAGTTAACTGAGCGGTGTCCCGACATATCTAAACAGGTTAAAAAAAGGACTTCTAAAGAAGGATCACCGGACCTGAAACGTTAACTCTGATTTCTTTCACAGATGCTGCCAGACCTGTTGAGCTTTTCCAGCAATTTCTGTTTTTGTTCCTGATTTACAGCATCTGCAGTTCTTTCGGTTTTTAGTTAACTGTCAAGCTCTGTTTAGATTTTAAACCTGGAGATTAACTCTGATGGGCCAAGGCATTAGCTTGAGAAATGAACCAGCAAATGGTAGTCATCTATTTTGTTGAGTTGAAACAGCTGCAGTGTGTGTATGTCTGTTCTTTCAGTCTGCAAAGGCTCTTGTGGCACAATGGTAGTCAACCTGAGCTAGATGGTCCAAGTTCCATTCCCACATGTCCCAGAGCTGTGTCCCGACATATCTAAACAGGTTCATTAAAAAAGGGAGCTCTGAAGAAGCATCATTGGACCTGAAACGTTAACACTGGCTTCTCTCACAGATGCTCCCAGTCCAGCTGAGCATTTCCAGCAATTTTTGTTTTTGTTTCTGATTAAAAGAGGAATCTGTCTACAAAGAACAGGGCCCTGTGTATTACTATATGTAACTTCCAGTACATGCAGGTTCACCACACACTGAGATTGATTAACAATTCTACTTTCCTCTCATGTACTACAAACATATCTTTGATCAGTGACCTCTAACACGGTCACAGCAACTGAACATTCTGCTCACAATCTCGGCCTAGCAAAGTTCAATTTGCAGTTTCTGATGCGCTACATTCACACACCACAGAACTATCTGTGTCTGTTTCATCATGGCTCAGTTGGTAGCACTCTCAGCATTGAATTCAAACTCTGCAGGTTCAAGTTTCTCTCCAGATACTTAGCAGTACATAATCTTGGTTGACATCTCACTGCAGTATGGAGGTGGAACTGCACATTGGAGGTGTTTTTTGGGGGGAGCAGATGTTTAAACAAGGCCCCTTCTACCCTCTGAGGTGCACGAACAAAATATTTACGGCACTATTTCCGAGAATAGCAGACATTTGTGGTGCCTTGGCCTATATTTATCCCTCGGTCAGTATTACTGAAACAGATTACCTGCTCATCATTACATTGCTGTTTAACAGAGCTTGCTACATTGGTAGCTGTGTATCTGATATTACACCATCAATTACATTTCAAAAGTATTTCATTGGCTGGACAGCATTTTGGGACACACTTAGGCCATAAAATGCATGATAGCAATGCAAGTCCTTTTAACTTATCACCTCCAAAAATTACCCAAAGGTATGAGTGATGAAACTTTGCGAGTACTAAATTATGCCGATCACTGAATCACATTTTGAGGTTCAGTTAAGGTACTGCTATAGAACATAGAACATAGAACATAGAACATTACAGCGCAGTACAGGCCCTTCGGCCCTTGATGTTGCGCCGACCTGTGAAACCAATCTGAAGCCCATCTAACCTAAACTATTCCATTATCATCCCTATAGCGCGTACTCTGGCAATGCAAATTGGCTGTAATGCAACTGACGAATAGAGGAACGCTATTTCTAAAACACGAACTTATGTTGGCCATAACGCAATTTCACAATGACTTTATTGTGTGTTTACAACAAATGAGGAAGGACATTTAACGGACTGTGTTTTATGAAGACAAAGCTCCTTGAACTCTTCACTGATTTTTAAGATTCGCAGAAAAAAACAGGGAGAAAGAGGAAACAAACTTAAAAATTGTCATCTATAGATTGAAGAGAGAGTTTAGGAGAAACATCTTCTTATCCAGAGAGCTGCTAAAACAGAGAAAAGCAAATAAAGTAACATTTAAAAGGGACGAGGATGAATATTAAAAATCAACATGTAATAAGATTTGAGGAAATAAAAGGAAGAGGAATGGAATCTTCAGAGAGTTAGTACAGTCGGCTCTGCTAGAACGTGTGTTCCGTCAACATAAATTGGCTGTAACGCAACTGATGTACAGGGGAACGCAATTTCGAAAACACAAACTTGCGTTGGTTATAACGCGATTCCATCGGCGCGCGGAGGAGTACGCGTCGACATCACATGATCGTTTCACGGGCTTTGCCCTGAATACGTGCAATGTTAGTGCCGAAGAGTCTCTGCGCTGTCATCACATGATCATTTCACAGACTTTGTCGTGAAGCGCTTTCTGTGAAAGGTACGGTACTCCGTGATTTTCGGGGTTTTATTTGCAAATTCTGCCGTGTTATCCACAAAAATGCTAGGACACAGTGAACAAGAACGTTAGCAAGAAGCGTCCTGGTGATAACATTGCAGGTGGTGAATGTAAGAGAAAGGCTATAACACTGGAAGAGAAGCTGGATGTTATCAAGAATTTGAGAGTAATGAGAGAACATGTGATATAGTTCATGTAACAGGAATAAAGGAGTCTACCTTACACACTGTTAGAGACAATGCAGAAAAGACTAAAGCCAGCTGTATTGCTGGAAAATGTCTGAGTGCTAGATTTTAAAGGCTTTTATCCGTCAGAGGTGCCCCCAAGAATCAAAGAACATTGTGTTGATCTTGCAAAGCAAGTTGGATTTGAAGAAGTGGAGAGCGAGGATGTTGAAGAGCTGCTTGAGTCCCAATGTGAAGACATCCCTACAGCTGATCTACAACTTGTCGCTGAGGGGGAAGTGGAAGCTGGAGATGAAGGAGATGAAGCTCAGGATGCAACACCATGAGAGCTTTCTACTTCTGTTTTGTCTTCTGTCCTGAGGGAAATTGAGAAATATTTGCAGAGGACAACGATTACAATGCAGAACGTAGCAGGGTAGCAGTTTGTGGAATAAGAACTTATTTGGCACCCTATGAACAGCTTCTTCATGAAAGAAGAAAAAAGGCAAAGCAGCAAAAACTGGATGTCTTTTTTAAGCCAACCCACAAGAAATAGTCAGAAGACAATGAACCACAGCCACCCACTTCTGGATGAATTAATTTTCACCCTAACCCTGCAACCACAACTGCACCTGAAGGTGATGATGATGACGACCCTCAGCCCCTGCATTAACAACAGAGAAACTTCAAAAGCTCCTCCCCCATCAAGTCATCTTGACATTTTTTCAAGGTATGGTGTTAAATTTACTTTTATTTCACTATTAGATTATTTATACAAACTGCTATCCTTTGTGTTAGGCTTTTGAGTGATTATTGAGCGATTTTGAGTGATTTTTTTTGGTGGTCTGCCCCTCACTCTGCTTTTCCCATAGGCCCCGTTATTTCTACAGTGCGATTTTTTATAACGTGCTGTTGAGCAGGAACATAACTATCGTGTTAAAGCAGAACTGACTGTATTATCTTAGAGATAGTAGGAACTGCTGATGCTGGAGAATCTGAGATAACAAGGTGTAGAGCTGGATGAACACAGCAGGCCAAGCAGCATCAGAGGAGCAGGAAAGCTGACATTTCGTGCCTAGACCCTTCTTCAGAAATGGGGGAAGGGAAAGGGATTCTGAAATAAATAGGGAGAGAGGGGGAGAAGATGGATAGAGGAGAAGATAGGTGGAAAGGAGTATTACCTTTCTCCTTTTCGGTGAGGAGCCCTTGAAGGCCTATCGCTTTGATCAACTTTTGGTCACCTGTACTGGTTAATAAATCCCTCTAAGCTCAGTGTCAAAATTTTATTTGGCAATTCTGTGAAGTTTTAAGTTGCTCCTTAAATCCTCTCTGGCTAAGCTATTGATCGCTTGACCTAAGATCTC